AAAAAAAAAAAAGTATATATATATATATATGGGCACCTGGGTGGCTCAGTGGGTTAGGCCTCTGCTTTTGGCTCAGGACATGATCTCAGGGTCCTGGGATCGAGTCCCACATCGGGCTCTCTGCTCAGTGGGGAGCCTGCTTCCCCCCTCTCTCTCTGCCTGCCTCTCTGCCTGCTTGTGATCTCTCTGTCAAAAAAATAAATAAAATCTTTAATATATATATATACATATATACGTATATATACACAGATACAGATAAAGCTATAGATATATACCCACACACTTCGGTCACCAGAGACAGATCGCAGCTCTGACTGAGTGAGCAGGCTCACTGGAGGGCCCTGGAGGAGCTCCCGTGTCGGGCGGGACAGGGCGGGAGCCAGAGCCCCTCTGAGGAGTCTCGTTGGCGTGACTCAGACCAGCTCTGTCCACGGACCGGCTCTCAGTGACTCAGCTCCAGCCACTTTCCATCTCTCTGTGTCTCTCTTCCTCCTCCCGGTTCCCTGAGAGAGCGAGCAAGCCTGTGATTGGCATAGGCTGGGTCACCGTCCCGAGGGGACAGGGATGACGGAGAGGGGGTTGGAGGTTAGTGGGTCATGGCGGTCCGCCACCTGCACGCTGAGGTCTCCGCACGAGGCGGGAGCGGGGCGTGGCGGGGACAGTGGGCTGCAGCAGAGTCCCCGTAAATGCCTGGGGACAGAATGGTTCCCTTGAGAGACAGCGATGGGCAAGGGGGCTGGACAGCGGGGGCCTCAGATGGCCAAGTGTTCTTTGTAAACTTTTTCTATGACTTTTTATTGCGGTAAAATTCATATAACATGAATTGACCATTTTTTTTATGAATTGACCATTTTAATGTATTAAATTCAGTTGCTTTTAGTACACTGACAATGTTGTATACAGTTACAAACCTTTTCATCATTCCCAAAGGAGACCTTGTACCCATTAAGTACTTTGCATTCACTCTCTCCCGCGCTTCTGGCAACCATTAGTCTTTCTGTTTCTGTAGATTTGCCTCTTCTGGGTATTCCACTTGTGTGGAATCACATACTATATGGCCCTTTGTGTTTGGCTTCTCTCACTTAGCATAACATTTTCAATATTTTCATCGATGTTTCAGGACATATTAGTTCACTAATTTACATGCCCTAATAGTATTCCATTGTGCAGCTAGACCACCTTTTGTTCTTCCATTCATCGGCTGACATATACATGAGTTGTTTTCACCTTCCTGCTATTATGAATAGTATTGCTGTGAACATTTATGTGCAAGTTTTTATTTGAACACCAGCTCAAATCTACTATTGAGGCCTTATCATGAATTATTCCTTCCAATTTTTGTACTTCTCAGTTCTACATTTTCTATTTGGTTCCTTTTTATATTTTTATCAACTTGTTGATATTTTCTCTTTGTTGAGATGTTGTTCTGGCTTCCTTTAACCTTTTGACATATTTAAGAAGATTAAAGTGTTTTTGTAGTGAGTCCAATATCTGTGTCTCTTTACAAACTAATTTCTTTTCATCCTGTAAATAGGCCATACATACGTGTTTCTTTGCATGCCTCTTAATTTTTCATCAAACGCTGGACATCTGGAATGTTCTAATGTGGTAATGCTGGAAATTCAATTTTTCCTTCTCATCAGGGTTTGCTTGTGTTGCTTTCTATCATGTGTAGTTGCTTTCTGGTTTGGGGACTTTTCTAAACTATTTTCCAAAAACTATGCTTTATCATGTGTGGTTTCTGAAGTCTCTGTTCTTTTAGTTTTTGGTCAGATCATGGTTTTCCAGAGATATCCTTAAACACTGGAGGGAGAGAAAAAGGAAAGAAATAAAAAGAATAAGATAGTCTCCTGGTCTTTGAAATTTGGCTCTTTGAAATTTGGGGCACTTTTTCAAAGCTTAGCTCGTCTGTTTATGACTGTGCCTCAGCCTTCCTTTCCTAGGTTTCCCTGAGCCTAAATATCAGTGGAGGGGAAGCTTGTAGCGTTCTCAGGTCTTTTCTGAACACGCATTCAGCTCTGGGCGGGCATATGACTGTCTATATTTTCCCATTATAAGCAGAAGCTTCTCAAAGCCGATCTTCCCCAAAGTGATTTTCCCCAGTTTTTCCTCCAATGCATTTGGTATGTGTATCTTTTGTCCCACCTGTAATTTTTTGCCTTAAGAGGAAGTGTCTTGTTCATTATTCTTAAGGGACACCCTCCTGGCTACATTTTTGTCCTGAGAGAGTTCTGAGGTAGGTGAAACAAAGGCTAACGCCTGGTGTCAGTCCTTCAGGGAATTTCCGCATAGGTCCAAACAGACAAACACCGCTTCTTGGGAACAAAGTCTGCTGTCCCCTTTTCTGAGCCTAGCTGAGAGCGTAGGCTGCCTTCTTCAAGACTGTTTCTATGCAAGGCTAAAGGTAGAACACCAGGAAGTTCTACCGTGTTTAAGCCGCCCTTTTCTTGATTCAACATTTGCTTCATTTTTGGAAATATTTGGCTATTTTGGGTAGTTCTGACAATTGATTCTGACCACTTTTGCTAATGTTTTCACTGTTTCTGTGGAGGGATAGGTCCTTAGAGCTTCCTAGTTCTGCTATTTTTGCTGATGTCACTCTTGGAATGTTTTAAAAAAAGATTTTATTGATTTATTTGAGACAGAGAGAGATAGAGATACAGAGAGAGAAAGAGAGAGAAGCACAAGGGGGGAGGGGCAGAGGGAGAGGGAGAAGCAGGTTCCCTGCTGAGCAGAGAGCCCAACATGGGGCTCCATCCCAAGACCCTAGGATCATGAGCTAAAGGCAGATGCTTAATGGACTGAGCCTTTAGGTGCCCCACACTTGGGATTTTTTTTAAAGGAGATGAAATACTGGGCTGGAAAGTAGCACTGGGAAAGAAGAAAGGCCACTGATCTTACCTCCTAGCCCTGAGGTACGTGGGGTGTGAGAAGAAAAGATGGTCTTCCTTGAAGTAAGCTGCTAGAACTTAGTGTCTTCAGGTATAGAACAAACCTCCTTGAAGGCAGAGACTAGAAAGAATGTGTTGAGAAGACAGTGGTTATAAATCATGAGTTCTAGAGCGCCCTGTGAAAGTTGGAGTCTGAAGGGAGAGCTTTGGGGGAGACAGCTGGGTTGAAGGAAAGGACATCCAGACTCTGGTGCTTTGAGACGAGGTTTTCATTCCAGTCCTACTAAATGTTGTAAAAATCAAGAAATAGGGGCGCCTGGGTGGCTCAGTGGGTTAAGCCTCTGCCTTCGGCTCAGGTCATGATCCCAGGGTTCTGGGATCGAGCCCCACATCGGGCTCTCTGCTCAGCGGGGAGCCTACTTCCTCCCCTCTCTCTCTGCCTGTCTCTCTGCCTACTTGTGATCTCTGTCTGTCAAATAAATAAGTAAAATCTTTTAAAAAAATCAAGAAATAATGTGAGGTTTTTACAAGTGCCATCTTTGCATCCATTAGATTCATAATGTAGTTTTTCCCTTCCATCAGTTCATGTGATGATTTGCATTAGTAAATGTCGTAATAGCAATCATTTTTGTCTTCCTGTGTATTGAAGATACGTGTCTCATTATTCTTCTGTGCACATGCGTGTTGTTGCCAGGTTTGAGTTTCAGTATTATGCTGGCTCGAGGCCATGCTGATTCCATGGTGAGGCAGACGGATGGCATTCTTTCCCTTGTCAATTTTCAATATTTGAAGAGGGGATTAGTGGGTTGGAAATCTGATGAATTAAAATGATTCTTTCTTAAATGCACCTGGATTAAAAGCACGTGGTTTATTTTTAGGTGGAGATCTGTGAAATATTTTTCAGTGTCTTCCACGGATATTTGTTTACTTATTATCTGCCTGTTTTTGAGTCAATAGTTTAAAATTAGATCTTACTAAGTTTTCCATTTTATTTGATTTTTGGATTTACAAATGTAGATGTGTCTATCTAGTGGAATTACATCACATGAGCATTTAGCCTTTGCGGATTCCATAACATGAATTTGAAAGGAGAGACAAAGATACAAAGACAAAACTTCTTAGGATATGCCCTCAGGTATGAGAAGGCTTCATGAGCCTGAGTCCCTAATCGTGCTCACGCTTCAAACTTAGTCCATCACAGAATCCTTTTGAAAGACATATTAACATCCATTGAGCATAGTTTAGACAAACGGTACGTGTTCATTGTTGAAAATAGATGCAAGTTAAAATCTCACAACCCAGAGATAACCACTATTAGCATTTTGGTGAACATACTTTCATGCATTTCTTTTTTTTAAATAATTTTTTAAAATTTATTTTCAGCATAACAGTATTCATTGTTTTTGCACCACACCCAGTGCTCCATGCAATCCGTGCCCTCTCTAATACCCACCACCTGTTTCCCCCAACCTCCCACCTCCCGCCCCTTCAGACCCCTCAGATTGTTTTTCAGAGTCCATAGTCTCTCATTGTTCACCTCCCCTTCCAATTTCCCCCAACTCCCTTTCATGCATTTCTTGGTGAATAAACCATATCAATATAGATGTCCGTGTGTATCTTTACAAAGCATATATACTTGTGTCTACCTACACACACACACACACACACACACACACACACAGACCCAGAATTTTGCTTCATGGCCATCACCCAAACCCCTGCATGGGTAAAGTGAAAAGGCCCACAAGGATCCAACCAGTGTCCCCGTTGTGACAACTGAGCTAACCCTCCACCCACTCTCCCCAAGTCAGGCCCCCCTTCAGTTCCATCTTCTTCTCTGCCTGGTCCTTCTTTCCATCTTGAGAAAGAAGACAAGCTCCTAACTGAGGAGAGTTGCGAGGAGGGCCTCAGCTCACCTGCCCTGCATTCTCTGGTGACCAGACAGCCCCCACTCTCTTGTCCTCACTATCCCAGGTCAGAGTTCCTCCCCAAAGTGCCACTAAGTATGATTTCGGCCAGTGATGGAGGTCGCTGGGCGCGCTTTCCGAGACTGCCTGCGATCTTGCTGACAGTGGTATTTTCAATGTGTATTTATAGAGACCAGCCGCCATGGGGAGAGGCAACCTAACCATCATCTCCGAATTCTTCCTCCTGGGACTGTCAGAGGGGCCCAAGCGTCAGCCCCTGCTCTTCAGTCTGTTCCTGTCCATGTACCTGGTTGCTGTGGTGGGGAACCTGCTCATCGTCCTGGCCGTCTGCTCTGACCCCCACCTCCACACCCCCATGTACTTCTTCATAGCCAGCCTGTCCTGCGTTGACATCTGCTTCACCTCTGTCACTGTACCAAAGATGCTGCTCAATATGCAAACCCAGAGCCAGTCCATCCCCTACACGGGATGCCTCACTCAGATGTATTTTCTAATCTTGTTTCTAGAACTGGACAATTTCCTCTTGGCAGTGATGGCCTATGACAGATTTGTAGCCATATGTCACCCTCTTCATTATACCATAACCATGACCCCCAGATTCTGTATCACAGTGATGTCCGTGGCTCTGATTATCACCAACATCTATCCTTTGATCCACACCTTCTTGATGGCTACGCTATCGTTCTGTGCAAGCGTCAGAATCCGCCATATTTTCTGCGAACTTTACGCATTGCTAAAGCTTTCCTGTTCAAATACCCACATCAGTGAGTTGGTTGTTTACACCCTGGGGAGCTTTCTTTTCGTTGCTCCTTTCCTCTTTATTTCTCTTTCCTACATGCACATTTTCTCAGCCATCCGAAGACTTCAGTCTTCTCAGAGCAAGCTGAAAGTCTTTTCTACCTGCAGTCCCCATCTTGCTGTGGTGTCACTGTTCTACGGAACTTTATTTGGGGTGTATCTGCGACCTTCTTCTTCCTACACAACTGAGGACTCAGTGGCCACTGTGCTCTATGCGGTGGTGGCTCCCATGCTCAACCCGTTCATTTATAGCCTTAGGAATAAGGACATGAAAGGGGCCTTGAGGAGCCTCCTCAGCGGGAGAAAGGTCTGGTCTTGGTGACAACATGTCCTGCTTCTGAGCTTCTGAGCTATGACATTGTCTTGTCTTCTCCTCCTGTTGGTGTAGGAAGGGACAGCGCACATGATGGGTCTGACAGGTGTCCAGCTTAGCCCAACTTTTTGTTGGCATCTCGCTTACTCACCCCTTACACCAGCCCTGCCCGAGTAACTCTTGTGTCAGGCGCCAGGTGGGCAGCTTGTTTGCGTGCGGATTTAACTTCCAACTCATTCTTTTTGTCCTTCAGGGCCTCTCCTTAAACCTTGTCTGCCTCATGAGTCTCCACTGCAGGTTTGTGGGACCGAACTGAAGAGGTTCCTGGCCCTTCTCAGAACAAAATCTGCAATGGAGGCCCCTGTCACTAGGTGGCAGTAGAGGCACAAAGCGTGGGAGCCAAGTGGAGAACCAGATGGACAGACAGACACCCCTTTGACCCCCTGCCTGGATGGTGGTGGGTCAGCACACTTCCCACACCGTAGACTTACTTGCTGACCTCACCAAGAGCATTCCTAGATGCAGGGAAAAGATTAGACTCACCGCATTTCTCAACACACGCATATGACAACCATCACAACACTGTGGCTGAACGTCTTTTCCAAGGATGGATGCAACAGTCCTGAGAGGAGGGGTCTGCATCCCCAAGCCTCGAACCTGGGCTGCTTTGTGACTGTTTGTACCCATGGAGTACAGGGTAAGGGATGCCCTGTGACTTCTAAGGCTAAGTCATGGAAGGTGGTACACCTTCTGGATTGTTCCTTGGACCATGTGATCAGGGATCCCTGAGGTGCCTGTAAGAAGATGGACTGCCCTGAGGCTGCCCTGCTGTGAGAAAGCTAAGTTGCCTGGAGGGGTCACATGGAGGTGCTCGGGTCCACAGTGCCCAGCCTTCTAGCCATCCCAGACAGACTGGAGACATGAGAGTAAGTGAACCCTTCAGAGGATTCTGGCCCCCACCTGCCTGAGCTTCCCCAGTGGAAGGGCAGACATCATAGAGCACAGACAATACGTTCCCACTGTGTCCTGTCCTAATTCCCAATTCCCACAGAATCTGTGTGCACAGTAAATTAATTGGTAGTTCAATTGAGATACAAAGATACAATGCAAATAGGATTTTGAAGGACAGAAAGGATGAAAAATAAATTTTTAAAATGCAAAGAAATTTTGAATCTGGAAAAATGGGCGATTTTCTAGGGCAATGTTAATTTCCAAAAATGACTAAGAGGAAATAGGAAGTCTGTTTATACTGAAACAAAAGGGGAAATTAAATTGGTGGCCAAAGATTTAGTCCAAAGAGGAGAAATCAGCTCCAGATTATTTCATTAAAACTTGAAGAAACAGAATATCGCCATGTTATTGAAAAGGTTAAAGAGCACAGAAAAAGATGGCAAGTGTACCAATTCATTCTTTAAAATCAATAAGGCTGACATCAACCTGGAAAAGACCAGTTCACATGAGTGTGTACACACGTAAACATACAGAAAGAAAACAAAGAAACAAAGACACAAAACCCCTGTTAAAAGGATATCACACTGTGACTTACCACTCACTCTGCCTTTTTTCCCCTTAGCACTTATCACTACTTGAAATCACATATAGAGAAGATTTTTAAGTTCTTTTTTTCCCTGTCTCCGTGAGGCCGGAGATTTTGTCTGTTTTATTCATGTGACATTGGTAGGTGCTCGGTAAATATAGGTTGAATGAAGGATTGAAAGAATGTAATTCACCACATAATAATTCACTCCATTGGTAGATTGATACATAAGTATGTGAGGGGTGTATATATCTATTTTAACTGTTTTTTATTGTTAATGTAATTGATGCTTCTTGTAAATTATCAACAACAATGGAATAGAAAAATGAACAAAGGAAGTGAACAGAAATTCACAGAACGATAACTACAAGTGGTTTTTAAACATAAGAAGAGACAATCAATTTCACTGATAACTTGAGAAATATAAATTAAACTCGCACTGAAATTCTTTTATTCAACTCTCAGATACCCAAGTCCAAGAAGATATAAAAATAATTTCCTGTAAAAAAATAATAAATTTCCTGTAGAGACTCCAGACATGCTGTGTTTTATGGACAAGGTTTATTTTTTAATGTTCATGGACTATACAAATACCATAATGCGACATATTCCGATGATGGAAAATAACTAATTTTTAAGAAGCTTACCATGACCCTGATATCAAATCACTAAACAGAGAAGAAATCTATGAGATGTAGCCAAAGTCAAAGGCATAAGATAAATAGCAACCTTAAATGGTTTAATTAATTAATAAAAGAGGGTTCGGTATGAATTGATTAAGCATTCAAGTCCAGGAGCTATGAAAATGACAACAGAAACACAAAAAGAAAACAGAAAGGGGAACGAATAAAGATTAAAGCAGTAGCATGAAAAACCCAGGTAGAATAGGGCTAGGAAGCCAAGATCTGGTTCTTTGAAAGGACCAACAATACAGATAAAAAAAAAAATTCAGGTAGACAACATTACGCCTGAGAAGAAAATCTAACAACAGATATAAAAATATGGAGGATATTTTAAAAATTCACAATAGTACTCTCTGCGGTCTTATGAATAACACGAGCAACTCAAGAGGAAAACGATCAATCAGTAAACAGACAAGAAATAGAATCAAAGATATGCCTTACCATAGATAGTAGTCCTATTCATTCTGTTAAACTTTGCAGCAAAGATGTTCCAGTGTTGCTTATTTTTTTTATTTTTTGGAAGATTTTATTTATTTACTTGTATGTGAGAGAGAGAGTGAGAGCATAAGCAGGGAGAGTGGCAGGCAGAGGGAGAAGCAGTTTCGTTGCTAAGGAAGAAGCCAATGTGGGGCTCTATCTCAGGCTTCCCAGACCATGACCTGAGGCAGAAGGCAGAGCCTAATCCACTGAGCCCCCCCCGCCCCCCCCCGGGCATCCTGTTCCAGTGGTATTTAATCTGCTGCCAAGCATCAGAAAGAAAACTTCCCAACTTACTCCATAGGGCATTACTCCTGACATACCTAATCCTGACCTCAAGCTAGGAAACAAAGTGAAAATTTTCTCAAAGTAATTAAAACAACAACAACAACAACAACAACAAACCAACCCTGTCTTAAAACAATTTGGCCAACTTAGTGCTTAGTGCTTAAACACTATTTCCATTAAGATCAGGGCAACAGCAGGGATTCCCCTTACCATGACTATCATTTCACATTTTTGTCAAAATTCTAGCCTAGCAGTAAATCAGAAGATAGATGTGTTGGGCATTAATATGAGAAAGGAAGGGGGTAAAGTTATGATCGTATGTAAATATGAGTATCTTTCTGGAAAACCCGAGACAATCAAACTGAAGAACTACTAGAGCTAAGGGGAACCAATTTACCAAGTGTAAAATCAATAACGCAAAAATCAATAAAACTGCTAATCCAGGGGGAAAAAACTACCTACAAGTGGCATTGGAAAAATGTCCCAAACACAATAGCGACAAGGATAAAATACTGCATCAACACCTTTCTGAATGGGAAGACTGATTAATCTATAGGTTTCAGGCATTTAGAACCAGAACACAATCTTTTTTTTTTCTTTTTAATTTGAGAAAAGGCTTTTGCAGCTCATTTGGAAGAATAAATGGCAAAAAACCAATAACGACAACAACCGCCCCCCCCCAAATGTGATCAGTGAGGATTTTTTTCTACCAGACGTTGGAAGGTAAGCTCAGGCGAGCGGATGAGTCATACCGATGACGTGAACGTGAAGCTGTACTCAGGAGGCTCTTGGAGCGCAGAAGCCGTGGAAGAGATCACAAAGGAAAATGGTTCAATTTCTCCACACGAAAAACAAGTTCAGTAGGGAAAATAGTTGCCATTTATTACGACAAACCCTAATACCTTTTGTGAGATAATGCAAACATACATTTGGTTTTTGTCCCCAGTTCCTGACACAGAGCTCTGTTGGGTCCAAGGGTACCAAACCCTTGGAGCTGCCTGGGTGATAAGAACATCTTTGTTCTAATATGGTGATTCTAATGTGATGTTGAGCCCCGAGAGAGCTTCAGAATGGCGCTTGTCACCGGAAGACCAAGCCTTTATTAGGAGCCTGGAACTTTCACCCTTACTCCCTCCGCCAATCTCTGGAGACAGGAGAGGTGGGAGAGTGAGTAAACTGATCATGCCTCTGTGATAAAACTTCCATAAAGCCCTAGAGCTTGGGCTCAGCGAGCTTCCCGGTCGGCGAGCACAGCCGCGGGCCAGGAGGGTGGGGGGCCCACACCCGTGGGCCAGAAGCTCCCGAGCTTGGGACGCTTTCAGACCTGGCCCTACCTACCTCTCCACTTGGCTTTTCATCTACATCCCTTATAACATCTTTTATAATAAACGTAAACGTAAACGTAAGTAAACATAAGTAAAGCACTCCTGAGTTCCATGAACCATTCTAGAAAATTACTGAGCCTGAGGAGGGGGTGTGGGAACTTCCGAATTATAGTCCAGTTGGTCGAAGTAAAGGAGGTCCCTAGGACTCCCAAGCGCCATCTTAAGTAAGGGACAGTCTTGTGGGACTGAGCCCTTAACGTGTGGGTAACTGTGCTAACTCGAGTAACTGGTGTCCAAGTTGAATCAAGTTGTCGAAAGCTCAACTGGTGTTCAGAGAATCAGAGAATTGGTTGCTGGTGCTGGAAAACACCCTGTTCTAATTAAAAATCTTATATAAATAATTAAAAGATACAATCCATTAGGACATAGAAACAAAGTGAGTGGAGAACATGAAAAGACAATTCACATCAGAAGAAATGAAATGAATGATAAAAATATGGGGGGAATCAGTTGAATTAATAATGAAAGAAATGTGGATTTAGAACAATCAAGTTGTCATTTTCATTGACCAAAACAGCCGTGTGATAAAGTGAATATTCCTATACCGCGGGGTAAAGTATAATCTACAACTTTTCTGCATGCAAGTTGCCTAAATGAACAAAAAAAATTAAAAATAGTGAATGTCCTGTGATAAACCCT